TTTTTCTTCAAGGACTAACTGATCCTAAATATAAAGAAATTAGGTCGAGAATATTAATAATGGTCGAGCAAGACTCGAAAATAACATTACAAAGGGTGGCCGAAGAATGCCAACGTCTCATAAACGTAAAGGGATAATATACAAATTGAGGAGAAAAGTGTTGCTAATGTTCGACACGTAAAAACTCGAAAAACTCCAAAAGCCCAAAAGGTAGAAAAATGTGAGACGTGTGGAAAAAAATAACCATACCAAAGACACGTGTTGATACAAAAATAAATTCTGCCAATCGTGTGGAAAAAAAAAATCATACCAAAGACGTGTGTTGGTACAAAATAAATTCTGCCAATCGTCAATGCGGAAATAAAGGGCATAAATATACGGTTTGCCGAAAGAAAAGGAATTACAAGATGTAAGCCTGGTATTATCAGAAAAAGAAATTCAGAAAGGTAAAAATAGAAAGTATGTAGATGTACGGATAAATAATCATACAATTACTTTCCTATTGGATTCTGGTTCAGACATAAGCATCATTGATGAACAAACATGGAAAAATATTGGAAGACCTAAATTATCTGAAACCAAAAAAACCGCTAGAGGGGTTTCAGGAAAGAAATTAAACTTTAAGGGAGAATTAAAGTGCGATATTTCGTTATGTGGCAAGACTGCAAAAACGAAAGTGTATGTAATCCAAGGGATTAATTCATGTCTTTTTGGAATAGACTGGATAGTACTTTTTGATTTGTTTGAACTCCCGATTAACTCATTTTGCAACGTAATAAACAGTGCCGAAAAACAAAAAAATATTAAAAATGAAAAATTCATAAATGAATTAAAAGAAGAATATCCCAGTGTTTTTTCTGAGGGATTGGGTTTATGTACTATGACGGAAGTCAAATTTGAACTCAAGGAAAATGTGAAACCAATTTTCAAACCTAAGAGAAACGTTCCTTTTTCCTCCTTAGACACAATTAATAAGGCATTGGAAAGACTTGAAAAAATGGGAGTGATATCTAAGGTTGACCATTCGGATTGGGCCTCGCCCACAGTTTATGTTAAGAAGAAAAACGGAAAAATAAGAGTGTGCGCAGATTTTTCAACAGGATTAAATGATTGCCTTAAGAATCATAGTTATCCACTACCTTCACCAGAAGATATTTTTTCAAAATTGAATGGTGGGAAGATTTTTTCAAAAAATCGACCTGTCTGACGCATACTTGCAGATTAAAGTGAGTGATGAATGCTCGAAATATTTTGTATAAAAACACACAAAAGGTATTTATAAGCTAAATAGGCTTCCTTTCGGCTTAAAGGTCGCCCCCGCTTTGTTTCAACAGGTGATGGACACTATGCTGGCAGGCCTTGAGTTTGGTACCGCCTATTTAGATGACATTCTAGTCAAAAGTAAGAATGTTCAAGAACATAAAACGCACATCAGAGCGATATTCAAAAGACTAGAAGATTTTGGTTTTAAATTAAGCCACGAGAAGTGTAAATTCTTCATGGAAAGAATTACGTACCTCGGACAGGTAATAGACAGTGAAGGCAGGAAACCGGACCCACAGAGAGCCGATGTAATTAAGAACATGCCTGCACCCGACACAGTTGCGAAACTACAATCGTTTCTGGGGTTGGCACAATATTATGCAATCTACATACCTAAAATGTATGATTTAAGAGCCCCCCTCAACGAATTGTTAAAAAAAGACAAGAAATGGTTTTGGTCAAAAGAGTGCGAGACGGCTTTTCAGAAAATAAAAAAAATGCCTACTCTCAGATCTCACCTTAGCACATTATGATCCTGAGAAAGAGATCATTCTGGCAACTGACGCAAGTTTGTACGGAGTGGGTGCTGCACTGCTACACAAATATGAAGATGGCACTACTAAACCGATCGCGCACGCGTCGAGGACTCTTCTTCTGGCTGAAAAAAATTATAGCCAGATCGAGAAAGAGGCTTTGTCGATTGTGTTCGGGGTTAAAAAATACCACCGCTTTTTACATGGTAGATCATTTGTACTTCAAACGGACCATAAACCGTTACTTACAATATTTGGAGGTAAAAAAGGCATTCCTACGCATACAGCTAATCGCTTACGGCGATGGGGTGTAACCCTGCTTAATTACCATTTTAGGATGGAATACGTCAAATCTAAAGAACATGGGCATGCGGATGGATTGTCAAGGCTGATTCAAAAATGAAGAAATGTTAGAAGAGACGGTTATAGCAGCATTAACTGAACTGAAAAAAGAAATATCAGGTCTCTTGTTGAATACAATCAGGGAATTGCCGGTAACGTTGGACCAAATAAAAAAAGAAGCGGAAAAAGATCACTATATTGTGAAATTAAGGAACCAGACGAGATGGAACAAAAGACAGAAAAAGGGAACTCAGATTTCACCTTTTTCAATTTGTGACAACACATTGATGTACGCAGATAGAATTGTTATACCTCAATCTCTACATACAGATATGCTGAAAGAATTTCATACCGGTCATCCTGGAATGTCTCGGATGAAATCACTCATGCGTGGTTACGTATACTGGCCAGGAATGGACAAGGATATTTAAGGTTTTGTAAGACTATGTAGAGGTTGTCAATTGGCTGCAAGGGCACCTCTGGTCAAAATGAATCCTTGGTCGAAAACGTATTTGCCGTGGGCACGTCTACATATAGACTATGCTGGACCAATTAATGGGCACTATTATTTGATATTGGTGGACTCTTTATCGAAATGGCCTGAGGTAGTCAAGTGCAAGCATCCTACATCTAGGAACACCATCAGTGCATTGGATGAAATTTTCAGTCGTTTCGGGGTTCCCAGAACATTAGTTAGTGACAATGGTACGGCGTTCACAAGTATGGAATTTAAGGATTTCTGTACTGCCTTAGACATTGAACACATAACTACACCAGTGTGCCATCCCAGGTCGAACGGTCAAGCCGAGAAATTTGTTGACACTTTTAAACGTGCTTTACGTAAAAATAGAGGTATGGACACTGAAGAAAGAACTATTCAAAAGTTTTTAGCAATCTATAGGGTAACTCCTAATGAGAACAACGATGCGAAAATGTCACCTGCGGAAATTATGTTCGCAAGGAAAATTAGATCAATTTTCGATAGATTGTTACCCTATCAAAACAAAAAAGTTGCTAAGAAAGAGGAAAAAGTCAACATAAAAAAATACACTCCAGGAGACAAAGTTTTTTTTTTAAATTTTAAAAGTGGGAAAAGCTATTGGATGGATGGCATAATCCAGAAAAGGATTGGTAAAGTGGTCTACACGATTGAAAAAGTGAAAAAAATTTACGTGTAAAAGACACATCAATCAGATTATGGACCACGATATGGTGAAGAAAGTGACGACTAAAAAAAGCGAAGAAGAAATTCCGATGGAAGTGTTATGCGATGCTTTTTTAACATGACACTACCCAATAGTGTATTTGAACCTGTATCGCATGGACCAGCCTTACGGGCTGAAAAAAGCGGAAATTATCTTGTAGGAGAAAAAGGATCAAATTGTGACGACAAAAAAAAGAAGGAGCACATGGGAAAAAAACCAGTGGAGCGTTTTAGTCCGGATCCAAAAAAAGACGACATTAGAAGCAGAAATTTTCAAAAGGAAGAATTTCAGCTTCTCTACACTGGGATGGAGGTGTTGTGATGAGATAACCCAACTTCCCCATTCACGATAATGGACGGTCTGGTGGCGAAGAAAAATGGCGTACACCTTCTCTCAACCACAGTAAATGCCAGACAAAGACAAACAAAAAAAGGTCTTCGTTTACTAACACCATTCTGGTTAGCTTACTCCTGACTCTGTCTCTGTATTTTTGAAACATACCTACATCCGTTTTTATAAAATTATTATTGAAAACCATTACTTTTCAGATTTTTTTGTTTTAATTTGTTTATTCATATCTTTAGGATTTAAAAAGTCCACATTTTATAAACCACAAAAAAAATCAGTTAAGCCATCAGAGTTGTGAAATGTGAGACAAGGACATTTGGGACCTGTCTTTCATTTACAAACCAGTGCTTTATTTCATTTTATTTTTTTAAACTCTTTTTCATATATATAAATCACTTAACTTTGAATAGAGAAGGTCTTACAAGTTTGTCTCATGGCTGAGACAAATTTCTCTCTGGTGCTTGAGAGAAACACATGGTGTTCTTTACACATTATATAGCATTCCTGTAACAACTACTGCAAAGTGCCACCAACATTGCTACATTTGACAACATAATACCCTAGCAGGACTAAAAAGCCACATATTTGAAGATGGATCAAGTGATGGCATTGCTCAAAATCAAGCCACAGTCATCATCATCAGTGTGTGTGTATATGAGAGAACTTACCAGAACTTAAGTTTACCAAAGAAAGGAAAATAAGGATTCTTGAGGTTATTCAAGTTCTGGTTCACTATGGAGAAATGATCTCATTTATTGAAACAGTTTGTCTAAAAATCATGCTAAGCAACTTAAGAGTGAAGTTGGGCATACAGAACTGTTAAAAAATAATTAATAACAATGCTAGCACAAAAGTTCAAGCCATCATGAGCGAGTATTCCAAGGATTACCATTTTGGACCTGTCTTTGTTCAAGCTGTTGATTATTTCAGGATGATAAACTCTTTTTCATATATATAAAAACTTTGAATAACTAAGTTTGTCTGCTGAGACAAATAGTTGTAGTATAATGGTGTTCTTTACACAGGTGGGCATTTTTTGGGTGCAAAGTGCCAAACATTGCCTGAACATAATCTGCAACAGGAATTTGGTTAGATGCCCTAGTATCATCATACAGAGAGAACTTAGAGAGAGAGAACTTAGATTGGAGAGAGAGAGAGAGAACTTAGAGAGAGAGAGAGAACTTAGAGAGAGAGAGAGAACTTAGAGAGAGAGAGAGAACTTAGAGAGAGAGAGAGAACTAGAGAGAGAGAGAGAACTTAGAGAGAGAGAGAACTAGAGAGAGAGAGAGAACTTAGAGAGAGAGAGAACTTAGAGAGAGAGAGAACTTAGAGAGAGAGAGAACTTAGAGAGAGAGAGAACTGAGAGAGAGAGAGAACTGAGAGAGAGAGAACTGAGAGAGAGAGAGAGAACTGAGAGAGAGAGAGAGAACTGAGAGAGAGAGAGAGAACTGAGAGAGAGAGAGAGAGAGAGAGAGAGAGAGAGAGAGAGAGAGAACTGAGAGAGAGAGAGAGAGAGAACTGAGAGAGAGAGAGAGAGAACTGAGAGAGAAGCTAAAAATAGAATGGGAGAGATGAATAGAAGAGCCTGCTACCATTTATCATGCTATCAAATTTATGATCACTTTAATCCACTAGGTCATTATCCAACTAAAAATAATGATAACTTCTCAGCCCAGAAATTCACACAGAAATGTTTAATCAACTTTCACAAAATAACCAGATTTCTTATTAAAATACATACATTTTCAGAGACACAGTTATTTTGATGGTGGTGGTGGATCATCCTATATCGAATGCATAGAAAATAAAAAATAAAAAAATTATTGTTCATCTAATATGGAGAACCAGCAATGAAAAAGGGCTGACAGGAATCATGTCATCCAAGGTCCTTTTCTTCTCTCATAGACATGGTACGTCCATTTTATTCCTTTCTCTTCCTGTTCCTCACTGGGCACATCAGCCAACCTGAAACCAATAGCAAAGATGAGTCATGAAATAACCTTCCAGACTAAATATTCCACAACTATCTGGCCAGCTTCCATATTAAAAATAAATTACTGCCACTCATTAGAATAGCTCTGTTTCGTACTAATCAGTTTTTAGTAACAATTATCCTCTTTATCCTCATAATATTCACTTCCTATCACCTCTTCATTCATATCATATACTCAATTCATCATAACCATTTTAACAGTAAACCTCTACCTTGAGTGGCTCTTATTTGGTGAAATTTATTATAAAATTAAAAAAAAAAAAAATCTTACATCACATTCAGAAACACCATAAGATAAACAATTTTTGCTTCACCTAAAAGTATAAATAAATAAATAAAAAAAAAGTCCCAAGACTTTTTTTTTAACCATGTCGCCCTAAGCAATGCGAGAGTGCCACTAGCATGCAAGGGGTTTACTGAGAGTGGGAGCAAGAGTAAAGAGACATGTTTGCGGAAAGGATGAACAGAAGGATGGGAATAGATCAAGGCATCTGAAGATGTCAATTGACATTGCATTTGAATATTTAGAGATTATAGCTATCAGGGAAGCAAGTAAGATGAAGAGAGTTCCACAGACGGAAATTGCGAGACATGAAGCTATTGGAATAGAAGAGATGGCTACTTTTAACCATCTCAACAGTGAAAGGGTGGGACTGAGAAGCCAACCTAGTAGCCCGTTTAAATTCATGCAGTTTGGGAACCAGTGAAAGTAGCTCGTCAAAGCAGTTACTGTAAAAGTATTTGTAGAAAAGACAGAGGGAAGCGACAGCATGTCTGTGAGAGAGCGACTGTAAACAAGATGCCAGATCAGGGCCAATCACATTGCATATCAGTCTCTGGATTTTGTCAAGGACCTTAAGACAAAAAGCTGGTAATATATGACATCTGGTCACTGAGATAATAACCAAATATATGACTATTAATAAAGTACAAGTGAAACTGTGAATCAACCACAGACAAACTTTTTCCTTTATATTGAAGTTCATCCAATACATGGCTCATCAGCCACTCAAGGTAGTGGGTTATTGTTAAAATGATAATGATGACAGGTATATGATATGAATCTGAGGAGGCACAGCAGAGTAATGGATAGCAGCTCGGATTGAGGAATCTGAGAGCTGAGTTTGAATCCCAGTCAAATCCACGACATTCATTTATGTACTAATATCATTGGGAAAGGTATGAATCCTTTTCTCTCCCCAGCTATGGGTAAATAGTAGGATAGACAGAGTTCTCTAGGAGAAGGTAACTCTAAATTCAAAACTATGTAGCACATAAGGAAAGGATTGTTCACATTGGCTTGATGATCCTGACTACAGTCGACAAATGATGATGATATGAATAAAAGAGGAGGTAGTAGAAAGTGAGGATAAGAGGAGATAACAATTAATTCTTGACTTGAAGAGGTTAAGATTACACTGTTCAGAGAAGCATCCACATGGGAGCCTGAACCCCAAAGTTGCAGTTCTTGGAAGAAACTTTGTCCCATTTGGAATATGAGGGAAATGAAGTTGATTCAAATCCGTGGAAGTAATATGTCATCCTATATGCAAAAGTCTGAACTGGTGGAAGGCAAGAATGGAGATTCTCTAAACCAGGAGTTAGCAACCTTTTGCTAATTATGGGCCGACTTTCAGTGTGCCTACAGCATGTATATTTTTATACAAGTCAAGGTCAATATACCTGTTCCACAATATATTTTACATAGTAATGTAATGGATATATTCTTTAGTATATATTAAAATTGAAACAGCTAAATATCTTCTTTGTGTTGTAGTAGTTATTGCTTCAGACTTCATGTCATTAGCAGCTGCATGCCACATGTGCCGTAGATTGCCAACACCTGCTCTAAACACTTGCCATCAAAATATCCATAGAATGGCAATAGGCTGGTGATATTTAATCAGTGGGAATTGATTGATTAGTTTTTATGGTTTGTCAACCCCTTGTGGGTTATTTAAAGCTGAAACACATTCTGGGTTGTAATTCATTTTTACCACTTTTTTTTGTAGTAAATGAATATTGCAATTTTTCAAGAATAATGATTTCCCAGATCTGAGTTCTGTTTTTATCAGACGGAAAGAGGATAAAAAATTGAAGAATAATTAATCCCCAACAAGTCTGTGTATATAATTTTGAAACCTATCAAGGTTGGAATGCAAGGATTGTGCAGCTCCAGTTCATTTTTGGCCTAAGAATGGGGTATATACAAGTAAAAAAAAACAAAACAAATGATAACTATTTTTCCTTTTGTTTTAGGGGTACATAAAATGCATTATCACAGAAAAAAAATAAATTAAATTTGTTTTCTTTTATGTATTATTATTCAAAAAAATTATGCAGCTTAACTTACATTTACTGACCTGAAAGTTCAAGAAATTTCATAGAAAACATGTCTTCTCCAAAGATTGTTTAAAAGCAGTAATTCAAACTTTGCTAACCAGATGCTTCTCTGTAGCTAAATGGTATAGCATGTCGGATCAAATGACAGTTCCTGTATAGGAATACAAGTTCGATTCCCATCGAAGAACACATATTTTCTACATAATTTCTCAAACATTCAGGCTGGTAAATGTAATTAATACTGTTTAATTATAAAACCAGAGCAATTAAATAAATTGAGTCTAATAATAATGTTCAAACAATATAACATATATATATATATATATATATATATATATATATATATATATATATATATATATATATATATATGTGTATATATATATATATATATATATATATATATATATATATATGTATATATATATATATATATATATATATGTGTGTATATATATATATATATATATATATATAATATATATATATATATAATATATATATATATATATATATATATATATATATATATATATATATATATATATATATATATATATATATATATATATATATATATATATATATATATATATATATATATATATATATATATATATATATATATATATATATATATATATATATATATATATATATATATATATATATATATATATATATATATATATATATATATATATATATATATATATATATATATATATATATATATATATATATATATATATATATATATATATATATATATATATATATATATATATATATATATATATATATTATATATATATATATATATATATATATATATATATATAGACTTATAAAACTGATGAAAAGAATAAAAATGAAAATTAAACTAAAAACACAAGTGTAACAAAACACCATTCTCCCAGAAAAGAGCCAATAACTTACCCAATAAGTTCTGGAAATTCTTCCTCTGTGAATTCAGGGAAGAATGTATCACATTCAAAGTCAGACTGGATCTTGGTTAAATAAATCCGACAGGGATAGTCAGATTCAATTGCTTCCTGCAACAAAATAAGAGGCTAACTCAAAACACTTAAATTCCTGTCATAAAAACATTTCAATAACTTTAGCTCACAGATCAAAGATACAAAGAACTCAAAATTTACCTGTGATATTTAAGTACTTTTGTAATTGTATGAATTAGATTTTCTAAATGAGTAATTTTAATTTTTATATAAACAATTAACTTTATCGTGATATGTAAGTTAATATGTTTGTTCTTTTAACAGCATATCAACTCCTTATGGACATATAATATCAAAATCTAATTTTCTCAGGAGCTTTGGTAATTTGATTTTTTTTTTTTACTATTAAAATCTATTGCTGGTATTTTGACTATAAAAATGTATTTTTATACTTTCATAGTGTTTTGGCCTCACTTTGGGTGGTGGGGGGGCTGTCACTATTTACCCATAGCTGGGACCCTAACAAGTGCTACCACCCTAGGTTAGTGTGAATCTGGGACAACAGCAATTAAGATGTGGTTCCATGCTTTCAAAAGCTCCCTATGTCAAATAAAAATATCAAAACAAAAAATACATCATCCTTAAATATCAATTTATATACCTACTTCATACAATTAAATGAAAATTTGACTGGTGTGCTTGAGTCACAATCACACATTTGATTAAGGCTTTGTCACTGGTACAAATGTTTTTTTTGCATAAGAGTTAGTTAAGATTTTTAGGATCAGTTCATACAAATAGAATATGTATTCTTTGTAAGAAATCTTTCGTCAAACAGGACCCACCTTGCTTTAATTAGTCCCAGTCATGAAAAAAAAAAAAAAAAAAAAAAAAAAAAATCACACACACCTCTATGTATATAATTATATAATGTTTGACTAATTTGTCTAATATAATTTTTTTTTTTTCCAAATACTAATTTATAGATTTTTCTTCTCAGATATGACAAGCTCAAGTGCCTACAAGTCAGCAAATCGAATCTTAAATTTTAAAACATTGTCAACTCACCTGATAAGCTGTATATCCGCCAATGATAAACAATTTCTCAACTTTTTCTTTCAAGTGGTCAACAGAAGTGAGGTCAATGGCCTCTTTCAGGTTTTGGGCCAAATAGCTACCTTCAGGTGCTTCTCTGGGTCAAGAAAAAAAAGAAAAGAAAAAAAAAAACATTTCAAGAGCCAAGTGTCATATAAAATTTTTTTTTTTTTTATTATTAGGCCATCCATTTAAAAGCTGATTAACAAGATATAATCCACTCCTGAGTACAACTGTGAAGCAGCATTTTTTTTAATGATTGCATTGACAATAAAATGCAAGATCTTCAAAAGAAAAAGCAATAACAAACTTCAGAGTCATAAACAGTAAGGATTTTGCTCCTCTTGGTCTGGTCCATTGCTGAAATCTAAACTTACATTATGCATGGGATCAGGGAAACACTTATAAATCCATCATGAGAGCAATTGCCTTAGATATCTCAAGGGCTTTTTTTTCCACAGGGAGGGAGGGGGCTGCTACACAAACTCCCCAGCAATGACATTCTGGAGTCTCAGTCTCCTCTATTAAGACCTTCCTCTTGAGTAGGCCCATGAAAAGTCGTTATTAACCTTTACCACACTACAGGTGAAAATTGTCACCGTAGAATTCTCTCCCTTTGCTTCCCTAGGTGCATTCTGTTATCTTGAGACAGCTGCTATAAATTAGGTACCAACATGAGATCGCTTGAAAATGTTTGTATTGGAACTTCTGATGCAAATGCCAAGCAATACATCATGCAGTTTCCAAATTTCTGGAGGAATGTATTGCGTCATGGTGCACTTTTTTCTCACAGACGGTGCCCAACTGACCTTACTATACTGTGTAGTCAACAAAATTAAAAACAATGTGCATGTGCAAAATTAAAAATATAAAAATGGCAACAATTTACTCATCGCACCCAGTATACATCTTACTTATTATAAAACGCAGATTGTGTGTGTGTGTGTGTGTGTGTGTGTGTGTGTGTGTGCCTGTACGTTTATATATTGGATCGGATTTCCTACATTTTTCAACCGATTTCAACAAAACTTTAGAGGACTGCATAAAATTACCTTGCGGTGGTTCTGACAGCGCCAAAATTGGAAAAACAATTGTTTTTGAATGAAATCAATTTGAAAACACGATTCTGTCACCAGAATGAAAGGGGGACAACTCATATCGAGTTATACTTATTATAAAACCCAGGTTGTTTGTGTGTGTGTGTGTGTGTTCATTTATATATGGGATCAGATTTCCTACATTTTTCAACCGATTTCAACAAAACTTCACATTTTTTTGGCATGTAATGTTTTTTATTGTCTTACACACTTTTTTCTTTATTTTTACATTCAGAATGCTTTCAAAATTCCATTTACAAGACAATTATTTATAATAAAATTCTATTCAATCGGTAGACTCATAACGATTGAAAACAATGTTTTGGTTTGAGTTTGACCAATTTGTAAAAAAAAAAAAAAAAACTAATTAAGACATGCGTGTCCGTCAACCTTAAATAATCTTTGTCAATTTTATTTTTCAGTCTTTATGATGGTTGATACTTGATCTATCTCTTACTGTTACATCCCCGGGCAACGCCGGGCTCTACTGCTAGTCTGTGATAAAACAGTTTTAAGGTATGCTATATTTATGGGTAAATATCAGAAATAGTGTATGTAAATATAAAAGTGGACACTGAGGTCAACAGTGAGAGGTGACAGCTTCAAGCATGAAACAGACTGTTGCCACTCAGGATTGATCTCAATGTTCACTTGTTTGTGTGCGTGTGTGTGTAGCAGTATGATATAAAATCCAAACAAAAGTTTAAATCAGACTATGGAAAAATGTTGACTATGTGTTTCACCTTTGCTAGGCGAGAAATCTTTATGCTAATGTTAGAAGACCAAAGGAGTTTTTGATTATTAAATTAAGTCTTTTTCATCCTTTTTAGAACCTTCAAAATTTTGCTTAAAAATTTTCTTTTTCTAGCATCAACGGGTGACTATAAATTAGTATAGAAAATATTAGCATCTTTTTGCAGTGATTTAGAAATTCTTGCAAAAAAAAAAAAAAAAAAAAAAAAATCAAGCAATTGTCGGATCTTAAAACTTTCCAGATCTATTGACAAATAAATTAAATCAATTTAGAAATGTTTTTTTAGAAAATCTTGAAAAATATTTTCATTTTATGTTACCTGTCAATTATTTAATTTTATGAAATTTCAAGAAATTCTTTTTTGTGCCACTTAATGTTAATATTATTTCTAACCAGAAGTCAGGAATTTTTTTTTCTTTAGACAATAGTGTCTATAATATGTCATTCATAAAAGCAATTAAAAGCTTTTCTAATTAAATCATGTTTTAGTTTTATTGCATTTTTTTATTTTACAATTCAGGGCAGATTTTTGGTGACTGGGAGGTCTTGTTTTTCAAAAAGTAATTGATTTAATCTGAATTGTAAAAATAAAATAAATTGTAAAATAAAAAATGCAATAAAATTAAGACAGAATTTAATTAAAATTTAACGGCTCACAATTAATTTTTGGTGAATAATACCTTTTTTTCTTAACAAGAAAAATTTTTAATTAGAATAATTCTGTATTAAATTGTGTCAGTTATGTGTTATTGTTAGATTAGGAGAATATTTTCTTAAATTTTTAAGATTACTGGGTAGTTAAAAAAAAAAAAAAATTATATAAAAGATGCGCTCACTTGATATTCATAAACTTTTACAGATATATCCCCAAAGAAAAAATTAGTTAAATATTTGGTTGTCAAAGCTGTCAGGCTGTCAACTAAAACACCTACCTCTGTGTTTAAAAAAAAAAAAAGAAGCATTTCTGCAATATTTTAAACTAAAAGTAAGTAACATTTATTTCAAATCAGATTAATTAAATTTTATATCAGCTAATATTCCTCAAATAATGTTTCAGAAAAGTATATTTTATTTTTGAAAGATTTTTTTTAATAAAGTGAATTACATTGTGATGGCTAAAATCAGTGATTTTTATGGAAAAAAAAAAAAAAAAAAAAGAACATCTTCCAATCAATGTAAAGTTGTTCTGAAATACAGCAAAGTATTTTGCATATTGGAAATATTAAATTTAATCTATTAGCTTAAAATTCAAACTAAAATAAAAGCTTCAAGAAAGATTTTTTTTTATTTTTTAAAATTCCTTTTAAGCCTTGGGTATTGTTTTTCTTTGGTAGTACGAACATCATTAAATAATTTAAAATTAAAATAAAATAATTAGTAACTTTATATATTTTGATAAATTTAAATAATTACTTGTAATATTTGCCAAGTTTATTTCCTAAGTTCATTATATACTTTTATGAAATTATTAAAAAGAAAATAGGATAATTAAATGTCCCAATTTTAGTATAAAATAGCTTTGATATTTATTTTGAATCAATAATATAATTATATAAAATAAATAAAAACAATTAAGTAATTTTAAATAATATCAACAATTGGTAAGTTATAATATGTTAGTTTAAGTGCATCTGATATTCTAAATTATATGATTCATTAGTGAATTTGCTAATTCAAATGATTCATTAGTGAATTTGCTAATTCAAATGATTCATTAGTGAATTTGCTAATTCAAATGATTCATTAGTGAATTTGCTAATTCAAATGATTCATTAGTGAATTTGCTAATTCAAATGATTCATTCGTGAATTTGCCAAGTTTTTGTTTTCTCACTTTTTTTTTACAGCAAAATTACATCTAAAATAAATCAAACATTCAACTTTAATATTGTCATATAACACTTTTGAACATATAAATATTGCTACATTCTTAATGAACTCTAGTATAGTAAAATAACCAATTTGTTTGAAGTTTATGATTAGTTTCTAAGTACAATATAAATATGATATCTCATAATAATATGATAGCATTATCTGACCCTGATGAGTGACATGTCTGCAAAACTTCAGACAATTGAAAAGATAAGTCAATTGAATCTTTATTAATTATATATAAACAGATATAGCATATAGATATATATATTTAATGAAAACACTTACTTCATAGTTCTGCTTAGTACAATATTAATCCTCTTTGGAAGTGGAAAGAATTTCTTTGGAATACTTTCAAAGGTTTTCCTTCCCATTATCACAGCGTTCATCTTTTCTGGAATGATCAACAAAATCAATCTCAAAATACAGATTTTAAAAAGTAAATAATATTAACCCTCCATTTCAGGTTAGGTCAGGTTTAAGCCTGCAGTATGTATTACAGTACAACTTGCCGCATGGACAGTTGGTTGGCACCTAAACCCTCTCCCTGAATAGCTTTTCTGCTGGTGAGGAGGATGGAGAGTCACTCTGAACAATGAATAATACGACCCTTCAAATAGCAAATGAGCTTCTTATAGGACTCACTCATTCATTCATTCATTTCCTACAGCTTATTAACCCTTTGAAGGTTATTAAAGCCAGAAAATGTGTTTTAAGATAATAATGGTTCAATGATGTAAGTCTTACTAATTAACCCATAGCTGGAGGAGAAAAGGGATTCATACCTTTCCCAAGGGTATTTGCACATAAGAAATTGTAATAAACCAATCAGGAATTGGAACTCGGCTCTGATTAACAATTCTGAGCCATTAACCATTACACCACCCAAACCTCCAAGCTTACAGCACCTGGTATTCCCAAGAAGTCACCCATCAAGGTACTGACCACACTCAAAGTTGCTTAACTTTGATGATCATATAGGAAACTGTGTTTCAACATCATGTGGCTGTAAACCTCCATTATAGGAGTCAACAGCTAATATGTATGTATGTGTCCGAGTGTGTATACAGATAAATGCACATATACACTATGGAAAAAAAAAAAAAAAACTTGCATCAATGAAAAGTGCATATAAAAAAGAAAAAAAAAGTCAAAAAGTATAATTAGTCAATTTCCTATTACTCCCAGACAAATGGACAGAGTGATTCCCAGATATTCCGTCTCCAAAACTGGAAGAATTGGGATGCTGAAGGTAACGTCAATCAGCTAAGTGACAAACTTTTTACATGCTAGAATGAAGTCTCAGACCTTGAATAGTAAACTTCCTTGAAATGGTGTCTCAATAAAATCACTGTCTACTTTGACTACCATGAGTTTCAGGAAGAGCATCAAGTCTTATAAAAACTTGCCTCAAATCATTATGAGAAGTCCTGTCAAGCAGGACCTACCTTGCTTTGTACAAGATTAATCTTGATCTTGCATTAACAAGAGAAAAAAGAAAAATCACACCTATTTCTTCATCAATTTAGTACTGTGGGACATTGTCACAGTATTAGTAGCATAGGATTTTCAAATGCCCCTTTTAAAGTATTATAGATACCGAATTTTAACTCTTCATTTTCTTGTTATAGATTGTTTTAAATTTTCTTTCTGGTTTTTATAGGATAAATAATATACAATATAAAATTATATAATATACATTATGTAACAAACTATACTATATAATATAAAAATATAAAATTATATAATATACATTGTGTAACATAAAATGATATAAAAATATAAAATTATATAATATACACTATATAAGATAAATAAAAATGACAAGAAAAAGAGGTTATTTTTTTTTTGAAAAAAAATCAAATTAAAAGGCTAAGATTACAAAATGAATTTTTAAGTTTCAAAAATTCAAATATGCAATGATAGTTAACATTTTATTTTCTGTTCGATTTTTTAAAAACTTTGATGATTAAGTCCTTTTCAATTTTTATTTTCTCACATTCCAAGCAACAAACAAGAATGTTACCTTGACCTTTGCATTCATTTTTAACCCAATTATTAGACAGTCTTTACTTTATGGTCATGTGCTTGTAATTCACACAAATATTAGGATGAAAACCAGAAACTACTTGGCAGAGTTATTCAGAAAGATACAGGACTCATCATGAAATATTTGTCTTTCTACTTGCTTTTTTCTTACTAATGATAACCCTATACAAGGCCCAAGAGTCAATCAAGGTAGAGGCTTACTGAAGGTGGTTGTTGTGAGTACAGTAAGAGTAAAGTGCGCAGTTTATTCAATTCATTAAATTTTTCTTTTTACTGTTTATCAACCCTTTGCAGGTTATTCAAAGAAAGTCAGAAAATATTTTTAGATTGTGAGAATTTTTGTGGGGAGATAATGGTTTAGTGATACAAGTCTTACTAATTAACCCATAGCTGGGGGGGGGGGAGAGAAGAAATGGATTCACACCATTCCCAGGGGTATTTGTGTGTGAGTGAATATAACAAACCCAATAGCAAATGGAACTCGGTTCTCTGATAAACAATTTTGAGCCATTATCCATTACACCACCCGCACATCCAAGCTTACAGCACCTGGCATTCCCAAGCGGTTACCCATCTAGGTAATGACCAGGCTCAATGTTGCTTAACATCAGTGACTGTATGGGAACCAGTGTTTCAACGTGTTGTAGCCGTAAGCCGATATGTAGGAAAAATAACGGTTAACGCTTGCTAAATATTAAGGAAAAATTTTTTGTAAGTTTTCGTGTCGATTTACAGGTGTTTGATGAAAGTCAGGCGAAAGATCAGCTGCAATCATCTTTGTTCTTTGAAGTGTACAGTTTATAAACTGTGGTCAGTGGAGAGATCAGCTGCTGTAGAGCACTAGTTAGCAAAATAGATTCGCAGACACTTACCAAAATGGATTGAAGCTTTGTAAATACAATGTTTGTTCAAAGATCTGGTTGTTTAATATGAATGAAAAAGAAAAAAAAACAAAAGAAGCCTACCTAGGATAACAACACCTTAGTCTTTCCAAAATATTCTCCTATTCAAAAAATCCTTTCTACTGTTTGAGTGTCCAAATTTTTTTTTTTTTTTTTTTTTTTTTTGGGGGGGTGGAGAGAGATTACTATCAGCTGCCTCATTACAATCCCCTTAATTTCTTCCATGGTCTGAAGGAAGGAAAAAAGGAGAGGAGGAGGAAAGGAGAGGAGGAGGAGAGAGGAAAGGAGAGGAGGAGGAGGAGGAGGAGAAGAGGAGGAGGAGAGGAGGAGGAGGAGGAGGAGGAGGAGAGGATGAAAGGAGGAGGAGGAGGAGGAGAAGAGGAAAGGAGAGGAGGAGGAGGAGGAAGAGGAAAGGAGAGGAGGAGGAGGAGGAGGAGGAGGAGAAGAGGAAAGGAGAGGAGGAGGAGGAGGAGGAGGAGGAGGAGGAGGAGGAGGAGGAGAAGAGGAAAGGAGAGGAGGAGGAGGAGAAGAGGAAAGGAGAGGAGGAGGAGAAGAGGAAAGGAGAGGAAAGAAGAGGAGGAAAGAAAGAAAAAAAAAATAAGGAAGGTATTTGGCATAAATCAATGAAAGCGGGTTCAAGACTCATTAGTTATGTGTCAGATTATATCAAATTTATGAGATATCTATTCATAATAAAAATAAAAGTTTTACCTGGATCTTTTGTCCTGCTGGTAATTTGGGAAAAATATGCCATCTCTTTTCTGAAAAATAAAATAAAATAAAATAAAATAAAAAAAAATAAAATTACATTTTTCAAGTTCTCAATTTTGAGACAAAGATTTATCATTATTGTACATCTATTTAACCCTGGCTACTGTCGCCATCTTGATTGTTACAGCCAATAACACACAAGTCTTACAGTTTTGAAACAGGGGTCACTAGAACCTTGTATGTCAAACAGATAATAACTATGTGTCTCTTGAACAATCCACTCACATAATTTTGCAGTCTTAAACCCATTTGTACTCACTTGATAGAATTTTATGAGTATCATTTCTTTCTTAACCAGAGGCTCCCAGATGGTGTTCATCTTTATGCTAGGTCTATGGGTTGACCAAACATAAATCTCTTTTATGATCATTGATACATACTTTTAGATTTCGAGATGTCATGCTGATATAAGTGTTTTTACATTGCAGGGAATTTATTTGATAACTAAATGCATGAAACAATCAATTTTTCAGTGTGTGTATATATATATATATATATATATATATATATATATACACACACACACACACACACACACACACAAGTATAGGATGGTGTATATGGAATAAATTCCAATAACCAAAATATACTATTCTTAAAAGAGTGTTCAATACAGTACAGAGAAGAGCAAATATGATTTATTCAAAAATTATAACATAAATATCTTATTTAATCACTACAAAAATAGCCATTTTGTTTCAGCACAAACCAAAAGTTCATTGCCAAGTTTTTTGAATTCTCATATACTTGTATTTTCATTGGTCATTCCAGCTTATGTTAACAGCGTTTCCCCTTAGCGAGGGGTGTTTGATTGATTAGAACCTTTTAAAACCCTTTATTCTACTTTCAACACCATCACATGATAAGACACCAGAAGTGTTGAAACAATTTTTGTAGTGATTTTATAACATATATATGTTATAATTTTCGAATATATATATATATATATATATATATATATTTGAAAGTTGAGTTTTGATCATAAAAAAAAAAAAAAAAAAAATGTATAAAAAAAAGATTCTTAACATTTGCAAAGAGATGAAGCAAACTTATTTTTCTGTTTGTTGGAATACATGTTTAAATAGAAAATAAAAATTTGTATATACAAACCACTTACTTTTTAACCTAATTTTTTTGTGATGACCAACCTTGAATGTATCTTTAAGGTTATTTCAAGAAATTCTCTTTCCTAAAATATTTTATGCTTTTTCAGTCTCAATTTTTCGAAATTTCCAGTGTCAGTTATTGGATCAACTAAACTAAGAATATCAGAATAATTTAAAATAATTAATATATCTGGATTTAATGGATAACAAAAAGATGGAGACAAGCTCTTTAGTTGTAAAAATATCACTTTTACGTCTTCATTATAAGAATATTTTTCAAGCAAACATCCTAATCACCAATTCCTATCATAAACTGCTGTAACAAATTCCTTAATATTTTCAAACTCTATTTATCCCATTTTATAATTTTAATTATTTTTCTTTCGTCCTGAATCAATACGGTTTTTGCTTCTGCCTCTTCCTGAAAAACAGGAATAAAACTACATACTTTTTGAGTTCATGTAATTGTCAAGACATTTTTTTTATATATTTTCTAAGATTTCTGCTTCATTTGTCCATTCATTTGTTGAGGAATATAAAATATTTATGCATGAAATGTTTTTCTTGCACTGTAGAGAAAAATGGTGATTTTCAAAAAGTGCAGTGTGGTACTTGCCGGCAGGCCAACTATTTTTTCTTCTTCTTCAGTCGCCTCTATATGGAAATGGATTGCACGGCTCGCTTTCTAAACCCTTACACTTGGCAGTTGTGAAACAGACACCAGCTCAGCCATGCCTACTTTAACTTCCTCTTTGTCAGTCTGTCAATCCGTACGTCCAGCTCTATTGCATGCTGTCCACCAAATAACTTTGGTTTTATCATGCTGCTAGCACCCCACTTTATATGCTATTCCAATACGGCCAAAATTTGCATGTATGCAAATATCATCCCGTTTTGGACGAGATAGGCGTGTATAAATTGTGTCTTCAATAGCGGCCATATTTCTTTTTATCATCACTTTGCAGGCAAGACACGTTCGTGCTCGTTTTGAATTCTGAGGTAAGTCATGTATTTCGTCACATGCATAATCAAACTGTTTTGGTGTTATAATAGGGTTGCTGTGGGCTTGTTTTTACTTGTAATCTCTTTATAGTGCAACAAATTGATAAAATTTTTATAACGTGAAGTGGCACCATCAGAAAATAAATCAGATTTTTTTATTTTAAAATTAAAATCTTTTTTCCAGTACCTCTAGAAGTTTTCTTTCAAACTAATGGACAGCTACTGTGACATACTTGAGACAATCTGATATAATTACAATATTAATATACTCCAGCTGTTTACCATTTCTATAATAACAGACAAATGGATGTAATGTGACTTGAGAATTCTTCTGTAGCATCCTGCAAAATAAATAATTCTTAGCAAAATCTGCTAAAAATGACTTCACCATGCATCAAAGAAATTTTTTTATTAGAACAAAATTCTGATTGTTCTTTGACAAAGAAATCATGCTTTTTTTTCAAGGTTGAAAGGCCTAAGCAAAAAGTTTCAATGAATTTTTCTGTAAATTATGATACATTTTGCCATGTGGTTGATAGCAACTGTTTGTAGATAAAATCATTTATTAAATTTTTTATAATTCTTTCTATATATAAAACAAAATCCTCCAACAAATTGCTACCAGTTGAGCAATCACCCAAGTAGCAGTTAGAGTTTGCTTCATTGCAATATAATAGCAGCTAGGTATTGGTGGTAATTGGTTAAATGATATTGTTTATCTTGAGTCAGTGTACCAAAATGGGCCCCTACAATCATCATTCATATTTTGATGTATTGTACAAACACAGACACAGTATGTTCCAGCACCACCTGCTAGGATACATTCTTTTGGTCTGAGATCAATAAATTTTGAAAAACTAATTCTGTTTGGATTTTTTAATTTAAATAATTCTTATGTCTCTTTCAGGTTACAAAGTATAAGATACTTTTATTCCTGAATTCTTCTACAATTCTTATAGTCATTTTTTCTAGGCATCACCCTGCCAATTTCTTATAAAACAGCACAACTTTGGCAATTGTCTCTTGTGGGAATCTACATTTTCATGTATTTGGCAAAGTTAATATTCCTTGTACATTTACATATTTTTTGGCTTGTCTTGATATGTATGTTGTGGTGCCAAATTCCATTTGAATTCTTTGGACACACCAGCTTTTTGGAAATATTGTCAAATTTGTACTTTTTGGGACCTCCTTTCAAAAGCTGAAATCTTCTTATTATTATTCACATCTCCCGTTCAGTCAGTATAAAAATAAAATTATTCATTATACTAAGTAAGAAGTCTAATAAAAGTATATAGAATAAAAATTATACTCTTTGAATTATTGGTCATAAGGTTAAATAAAATTTAGTTTTAAAACACATTCTTGATTATTGCACTGCTGGTTTTCCGTACTTAGGTTTTTACTTTTACCCGCGTTTTTCGGACGGTGTGACAATGTATTTATAATTTCTGTATTGGACTTTGCTTTGACCTCATGGACTAGCATACGTAAATAAAACGTTACTTTCGTTCTTTTTTTAAGTAAAAAGGTAAGCACTACTTTTAGAAAGACCAGTTAATTAATATTTAAATTTACTAAAAGACTATGAAACATATCTCTAGTACAAATATTGAATTTTAAAGAGAATTTTAAAAATTTGCTGTTTATATTTTTTTATACAATGGCGTCTCGAGGAGTGACGAAAAGAATTATTAAATGCTTTAGTTTAATTTAATAAAAATTATGTCTTTAAAAGTTTATTTTATACGGAAATCCATTTTTCTTTTAATATGAATTAGCTTTTTAGACTAGTTTCAAATAGAACCGAAATTTAAGTTAAGGCATTTAAAATGTGTTTTTAGTTTCTCTGGTTACTTTTAAAAAGGAAAAAAAAGAATAAAATTGCATCCCCTCCCCTAAACCCTAAATTTTAAATTTTTATGAACGTTATAGATATTCGTGATCTAGAGTGCTTACTTGGTCTATATCTAATATAAAAAAAATAAAAGCTGACGATAAGTGTTTTGGTAAAATAAAAAAAAAGTATTGTTTTTTTCGCTATTGCTTTTCTACACGTGTCCGGTAAAAGAAAACGTTACAAGCGCTCGAATTTGCTCAAAAAGCGAATAATTTCTTGTGTTTAAGTACGCATCAGGAACATCCGACGATAAAAGATAAACTTTATTAAGAAGAAATCAAAGAGATTAAAAGACATTTCCTTTCAATATCCTCAAACATTAAAATAAATAATCCTTAAATATCCACTCCGTCTGATCTGATAAACTGTAAACACGACACTCCCGCGCTTTTTTCGGCCACTTAACAATTGTCATTATATTTCTACCACAATTAGGATTGTGGAATATAAGACTCCCACTTAAATCTTCTTTTCTTGTAAATAAATAAATATATATGTTTCATTAAGGAAGGATGAATGACTGCGATTATGTGCCTTCTTTTTTGGGCATAAACTTTATTTATGCCATAAAATGTGTAAAAAGAACAAAAAAAAAAGAAACTGTCGAAATGTTCTATATCCAAAAAGAAAATACTTGAGACAAGAAAAATTGAACAAAAAGCTTAATTGCAGTACCTTGTCAGTCGTCTTAATGAATGAAGCTTGTATAAAAGAAGGGATGCTTCCCAAAATAATAGTTTTAAATGTAAATTATAATAATTAAATTATTTTATGCACTGGAGAAATTTTTTTAAAGTTTCCCGCCACAAAAAAAAAAAAAAAAGACGTAGATCTGAAACAAGTTTTCATAGAGAAAAGAAAAATGTGGTATTTTTATATACTTAGTGTTTGCATTACAAATAGTAGTCACAAGTGTGGAATTTTCTTGAAAAGATAAATTAAATAAATATGTTTTTTTGCGACTATACAAAAAGACGAGCCCAGTCCTGCCCCAATTTTTAATTAAGACTTTTGCTGCACGGTTTTGTAAACATACAAAAATAAACATCTATGATGTACAGAGGCTTAAAAATGTACAAGTAAAAGGTAAGAATTACTCATCATCTACTTACTTAAATCTCCATGGTAATTGATTCTTATAACCAATTCCTCTGTTCTTACACATGGCACAGATTAAATTTAGCTTGATACCTTCAGCCATCTTTTAACAGACACCGTCAACCTAAACCACGGTAGTCAAAAAATACGTGACAATTTCTTTCCTTTTCGCTTGTTCTACTTTCAATTCATATAAATAAATCTAAGTTGGTTTTACAATTTGCACCAATGAGCAGAGTTAATAAAGTATGGATACTTGAACTGAAAGTAAAGTTTGCTACTGTTTGATAAGGAAGTTTTCAAAATTACGCGCACTTGTCCAAGTTCAGATAACTCTTTCCTTTGTTTTTTTTTTAAAGGCATATAAGTTGTCTCCCCCTTAGCTGCTTATTTTTGGTTATGTTTGGATTTCAAGTCCCAGTAAAACGGCAATCCTGAAGGAACAGAAATTTTCCAAAACTACGTTTCTCCGTATTTGACATTGTGTTGGAAAGAAGCCTTTCCCATAAAAAAAATTAGTTCAACATTTTTAGTCAGATTTATGAGGAATCTTTAGCACACCCTTCGATATTAGGTACTTCTGATAAGTGAGAACAAATTAAAAACGAAGAAATGACTATAAAAACAGTATATATAGAGAGAATCTTTCCTGCCCGCCAACAGCAAAGCTGATACTTACTCATGGAGAGCAACACACCGCAGCTTCTTGGCGTCACCTGACTTGAAGTGGAATGAATCAAATCAATACTTGCATCTAGTTGGGTTACTGTGTCGTGCCAGAAGGTTTTTTCTTGTCAAAATCCATCTTACACATTTACAAATCTACTATTTACCCGTGCATTCAGTACTGCTGCCATATCTGGTCTGGTGATCCTGCTGTTCATATCAAAGTACTTGACAAAATCCAGAAAAGGATCTGCAATGTAATCAGTCCTGACGTGGCATCTCAACTTGAGTCTCTTTCTCACCAACATGACATAGCTCCCTCTGTCTTTTCTACAAATATTCTCATGGCAACTGCTCTAACAAGTTTTTTTTTTCTCTCTGGTGTCCGGACTATATGAGTTTAAGCATTCTACTAGATTGGCATCTAGATCCCTACCTTTTACTGTTGAAATAGTTAACTTAAATGTAACCACCATTTCTACTCCAACAGTTTATTTTCTCGCACTTCCTTCCTGTGGAACTCCTTTCCATTTCCTTGCAAAGATTTAAATACAAAGTCAATTTCCATCTTCTTAAACCACGTTCAGCTTTTATCCTCTCCTTGCTCCCCTTTATACCCAATCTTTTTTCTTCACTAACTAATCCTCTGTGTACCAGTGACATTCCCACCTTACTTAGGATGAAATGATTAATATATATATATATATATATATATATATATATATATATATATATATATATAAAAGGCAGAATGTGTGTGTGTGTGTAACAAATGCACGGCCGCAATTTTCGATGGATTTGCACCAAAATTTACATGCACATGCTCCAAGTTAGCAGGAAGGCCAAGACCAACTTTGCATTTCCCAACTCCCATCGATAATGGTAATAATCGATTTTTTCATGCTTCTACAGCAGTTTTCATGTAGTTTGCGGCCATTTTCTACTGGCCAGAGTGAGAGCCTATAGCTGGCTGCCACGAATAGGCAGGAAGATTCTATTGGCCAGTGTGAGAGCCAATAACTGACTGACACGAATGTTAACTAGCATGCTAAAAAAAAATCGATAGCTGCATTCGTCACAAGTGGGAAAAATTTAAATCTGCATGGCACTTTACTCCAATTGGCTCATTTGCTTGCTTAAACTCAATGTTGATTCTGATTCTGCAGAACTGGGTTGGGTGTGAAAAAGTATTTGTTGTTAACATTCTTTTTTCATTCAGTTTTTCCAGTTACGAGTCCTTTTTTAAATCTGATCGTTTTGTGTTCATTTTGTTTAGTTCTTTTTTTGTAACAGATTTAATGTTTAGTATAGAGCCTAGAAAAAATTCGAAATGTGAGATAGGCAAGAAGTAAGGCATGTAGCAACATCAGCACGGAAAAGGGAACTCCTTTAAAGGCAAGGAAGGGCAAAAATATTTTAAGTCAAGTGATAACAATTGCTGTATGAGTCGTATGATTTTTGAATCAAGCACAGGCAACCCCAGGCCATGCTGCTAGTATGTATATAAATGCATCAGCTACGAAAAGTTTACCTTTTGTTTTTATTCACATATGATATTAAAGGTATTTTTTATTTGGTAAAAAAAACTCTACGAAAAAATTGTTCAAACAAATGTTTGAAGTAACATTTAATAATTTATATGGGCACACAACAAAGACGGACAACATGAGACAAATTAAAAAAAAACGATAAATTTGTTAACACAGAAAAAAATGAACGAATTACACGAATTAAGTGCTTTGTGTGCTAAATGGGGACCAATAATGTACGTAAATTATCAATATCAACGAAATATGCCTTTTTACAACAAAAATTATTCTGCTGCATAACATCTTCAAAAAAGAAAACTACATATAAAATGTAGAAAAGGAGAAAATACTTCTCTGAATAGTTTTCAAGGAATTGGTACAATTTTCAAAGCAAAGTTTGTGACAACAGCAAAGAATAGAACTATCACACCAGCCAAAGATTTTTCCTTGATCGGGAAGCAACTTTGATGTTATTTTTAATTCTCATCTGGTGAACTATTTACATCATTTGGACTATTGTCCTCATCTTTGTCGCCATATTTGTTACAACATTTCGACCGTTGTACGCTCCGAACTCCTTCAAGTGGTTGAAACATGCAATGATAACAGCAGAAATTGTAATGTGAGCACTGGTAAAAAAAAAAATAGTTGCTGAAGACATTAGGTTTATTATACCCAGAAATTCAGATGTCCTCAAGGACATGGCACAGTGGATAAAGGTGTTAGTTAGATCCAGTGACAGGACCCAAAGAGTGTGAGTTCAATACCTGGTTAAGACGGTGGAGAACTTGGAGAGGGGAATTAACAGGAGATAACTGATAACTGACATCCATTAAACATGGCATGTGGAACTAGAACAGTCTGGCCCAGTGAGCGAAATAAAGGGTTCATTTCGACATTCCAACCACCTGAAGAACGCTGGAGTGTACAATGGCCGAAATGTTGTAATAAATATGGCGACAAAGATGAGGACAATAGTCTGAATAATGTAAATAGCGTACACAATACCTCATCTCAGAAATATAGACAGATTCTTATTTGGTGGTTATCAAATTTCATCTGCATTGTTTTTCTTCCTGGACTGGAACAACCTGGGTTCCAGCAGCAGACATTTGTAGACTTCTTTTATAACCTACAGATAGGCTCTAAATTGCCTTCTTGGAATTTGGAGGGAAACCTTTTGGTTGGTTCTGGATGAACAACCAAATGCAGCTGTTTTCCCACAAATTGAAATGTACCAAAAAGATTTTTCACATTACAAAATTAAGCAAGAGCCCAACCCAGCATTTACTTTCTCTCATAAAACAGACGATACATGCTCAAGCAGCTTCAGTTTCTTATAATATATACATTATATGTGAAAAAATATTATATAATATCATATGTGAATAAAAACAAAAGGAAAACTTAGCTGATATGTTTTATCATCTGATAAACCTTATCAAGGCAAATGTAAGGATTGTACAAGTATTTATAAACAAAAGCAAAAAGTTTTTGATAATTTTTAAATTTCCCCCTGGCTATGGGTTAATTAGTAAGACTTGTATCACTAAAAAAAAAACGATTATTATCTCAAACAATTTTCTTATATTCTAAAATTAAATATTTTCTGGCTTTAAATAATCTTCAAAGGGTTGATATGTCATAAAAAGTAAAACGAATTAATCATTAATCATTTCTCTTAAAGTTTTAAATTACAGTGTAACCCAGATATTAGAGAGTTGTCGGGACTGGAGAAGTCTCTTATATCCGGGTTTCTCTTATATCCGGGTTTGGTCTATTTTATATACATTAACACAGGCTCTAATTTGGGACCAGAGAAAATCTCTCTTATATCCGGGTTTCTCTTATATCCGGGTTACACTGTAATTTCGTGTTTTAAGTTTTTAGAGAATTAAATAAAATTACTTATTTCGGTCTAATTTCATCAACGCTAATTTAGGAATTTTGTGCTCGAATATGACAAGTGAGGACAATTCTTTGATTTTTACCATAAACTACAAATATTGTTAATATTTAACAGCCAGGGATGTATGTGGCACAAGGCCGAGTGTATGGTGGGTTCTCCGAGCCTGTAGGCTTGGCCAAAAATATTGCCTTAGAACCCGCATATTTACCCCCCCCCCCTTTTCCACTGTCGAACTCTCTGTCTGGAGCACTGTTCCAACTACAAATATTGATACCGAACACGAGGAAAATCACTTCTGCAATAGTTTTACTGTTCTCCATGTTAATAACTTAATAGACAAGGGAGGTAAATCATGTGAACCGGAAGTAGAGAACTCTTCAACTCGGCATTGCCCGGTTTCGGGGATTTTGAAATTTAAACCAAGAAAAAAAAAAGTAAAAGGGATAAAAATAAGAAACTATCATCAATATTCTCTTTGTATAGAAATCTTTGTGAGTATATAAGAATGACGTATAAACTATCTACGTCTAAAGTTTTATAAATGAGTTGTGCATTTTTCTTTTTAGGTGATTACCGGCTTCGATTTAATATTTGCAATTTAGAGTGCTAAAAATCTACGCAAGTGAAAATTTTAGTTTAGTTATTTAATTTAAATTGTTACTTATATTTTTAAATAAAAAAGACACAGAATTTTTACTTTACTTTGTGTTTATTTAATAATGATAGTTGAATTAAAATCTCATGTTCTAAAAATGTGAATATATTTTTAATTTTAATTAATATCTCGTTATACTTTCAATATTCAATTGTTTAAAAAAAATAGTCAAGACATGACGATAAGACCGGTTTACCGGATCGTTTATCTTTAATTATTACTTTGTAATTTTTTAGTTATTTAATTTTTCTCATTTCTTTATATTTAAGTTTTTCTCTTTTTCTTCTTTCCCCGTATCTAAATTTATA